ACTTTCAGCTTTTTGGTCGTAAATTGGAAACAAGATCCCCACAGACTTTCTTGCTCCAGTTAGCTTAGAACTGCAATCCTCAGCCACCTGGTGAGCCACTGGTGACCATCCTTAATTGTGTTTTAAATCAAATTCATGTTCCTATGAAAATGGTCAAATGGTCAAATGATCAGGAGATAAAGATAATTCTGAAAAACAGAAATGCTTATAGTAAAGGCACATAGCAAATCAAGCAATTTCAGAAGTGAGAGTCCCATTCATATTTTGAAGGACAGTGTGCTTGTTTTTGTTTAAATGCAGTGGTTAAGGGAAGTGGCAGAAACAGTAAACCATATTTAAACAAAGTTCAACTCAAACAGTTTTCTACTGGCTCTTTTATGTAGTGAAGTATTATTTCAGTGGAATATACAATGGAGATTTGTTTTCTTTTAAATATATTGTAAGTATAGCATATTTTATAAACATACAGAAAATAACAAACATTCTGGAAAGCCAGAATGTTACTTACCAGGAGAGAAGCTCTTTGTCGCTCCAAATGTTAGGTAGTTATTTGTAATATAGCCCAGAAGGCCATTCTAGACATCTGTTCTGTAGGGCCCTATGCCTGGGCCTCAAGCCCAGAAGGTTTGTTCCAGACTGGACTGCCAGCCATCAGGCTGGTTACCACATCTGTTTCAGCAATGGGCACAGAGTATGAGCATGCTTGGCAGAGATACACACACACCTATCTATATATGCAGTTTATATATATTTAGGACAAAAGTGAAACTCACTGGGACAATGGAGATGGAGTGCACATCCCTAATGTGTAAAATCATAAAAATGCACTATACCTTATGTTACTGATACTCAAGTGTTCATGAGTGAAATTATGAGTCTTGAATTTGCTTTAAAATATTATAGGAAAAAAGTGTCTGGGAAGAACAGATGGCAAATTATTAATAACTGGTGGATTGGAGTGATAGGCATTTAAGAAGTTCTTCATGTTATTATCTACACTTTGTGTTGTTTGAGAACTTTTGACAATAAAAATGACTTCAAATAAACTTTACTGATTAAGAAAGTAAGCAAAAAATAAGGATTTGTTTTTTGTTTTTGGTCAGTTGTGGAGCCTGAACTCTGGGCTCAGCTCTTCAGCTCAAGGTTAGTGCTCTACCACTTGAGCCACAGTGTCACTTCTGGCTTTTTTTCCCTGCTTATGTGGTGCTGAGGAATTGAACCCAGGGCCTCATGCATGCAAGGCAAGCACTCTACCACTGAGCCACCTTCCCAGTCCCAAGGACATTTTTAATGATCAAAAGTATTACATAGCCAGGTGCTGATGGCTCACACCTTTAACCTTAACTACTCAGGTGTCTGAGATCTGAGGATTACAGTTGAAGCTAGCCTGGGCAAATAAGTCTGTGAGATTCTTTTATTTTTTGGGGGGAGGGGTCCAGTCGTGGGGCCTGAACTCTGGGCCTGGGCACTGTCCCTCAGCTCTTCAGCTCAAGGCTAGCACTCTATCACTTGAGCCACAGCGCCACTTCCGGCTTTTTTCTTTTTGCTTATGTGGTGCTGAGGAATTGAACCCAGGGCCTCATGCATGCAAGGCAAGAGCTCTATCACTTAGCCACCTTCCCAGCCCAGTCTGTGAGATTCTTATCTCCAATAAACTACTCAAAAAAGCTGGAAGTAGTACTGTGGTTCAAGAGGTAGAGCACTCACCTTGAGCAATAGAAGCTCAAAGACAGTACCCAGGCCCAGAGTTCAAGCCCCAGGACTGGCAAAAAAAAAAAAAAAGTACTACATAAAAAACTTGGAAGAACACTGGGTGCTGGTGGCTCACATCTATAATCCTAGTGACTCAGGAGGCTGAGATCTGAGGATCATGGTTCAAAGCCAGCTTGGGCAAGAAAGTCCATGAGACTGTTATCTCCAATTAACCACCAGAAACTGGCAGTGGTGCTCTGGCTCAAAGTGGCAGCATGCTAACCTTCAGTGAAAAAGCTCAGGGACTATATCCAGGTCCCCAGCTCAACAAAACAAAACAAAATTGGAAGCTTGGCACTGGTAGTTCATACCTGTAATCCTAGAGCCTCAGGAGGCTAAGAACCTAGGTCACTATTTGAGGCCAGCCCAGGCAGAAAAGTCCTTGAAACTTTACCTCAAAAAGCCAGGTTGGTAGTGTGAATCAAACGGTAGAGTGCCAGACAATCATGCAAGCCTATCAAGCACAAAGCCCTAAGTTCAAACTGTACCAACAGAAAAAGAAGAAAAAGGTAAGTATCCAATTATCTCCTCTTCTTTGAGAAGATCTGTACAGAACTATTTCCATGGCTGTTACAATAGAGAAAAGCTGGGAACAACGTTAGTGTCAATGAATTAGGAGCTAGTTCAAAATAATACATCCACATATGGTAGAATACTATGCAAACAAGAACAAGAAAGGTACACAGTTACAATGAAGGCTCCATAGCTGCACACCCGGTGTGACTCACGCTTGCTGGCTTCAGGAGGGACATTGGAGGAATGTTCAGAAGGGACATCGGAGGAGTGTTCAGCAGTGTGCAGAGCGGCCATCTCTGCACAGAAAGTTTACAGGTGTGTTTTACTTTTTCCTTGAAACGTGTCTATATTACTCAAATTTTTCATAGAAGCATATATTCACTTTATAGTAGAGGGAACCACTTTCTATAACTGAGGCAGGATAGAGAAAATGAGGCATGAGAAACAGCAGCTTAGAAGGCAGAGATAAAGAGTATTAATGAATTGCTTGGTAGAAGCATACAGGCACTATTTTCTTTGCTCTAAATTTTATACTCCCTCAATAAACTGCAACATCTAGTAAAAAGAAAAGAATTTAAAAAGGGGAAAAGAACAGCTTTTTCCTTTGACTTTGTCCACTTGGCCAACAGTATGCTTTGGCAGCTGAGCAATGCTAACTGGCTTAAACAAAGACACTTGTCTTGGAAAAACTATCTTGGGAAAACGACTCCTCTGTACACAAAAAGTGTTTGCAAAGGACAGTATTTCAAGGATAGATATGTCTTAAGTGAGTATCTGGAAGAACTAACTCTTGTTTAAAGAGATGCTCAAATATCTGTGTCATAATGACCCAAATTTAATTTTTTTTTGGGGGGGGTGGGATTGGGTCCGGTGGTGTGGCCAGAACTCTGAGCCTGGGCGCTGCCCCTCAGCTCTTCAGCTCAAGGCTAGCACTCTACCACTTGAGCCACAGCGCCACTTCCGGCTTTTTTCTTTTTGCTTATGTGGTGCTGAGGAATTGAACCCAGGGCCTCATGCATGCAAGGCAAGCACTCTACCACTGAGCCACCTTCCCAGCCCCATGACCCAAATTTAATAAGCAGACCTACTTTGAAATTTCTGGGTCTAACTGATAAAACAGTGCAGCAGCCAGTATGACTAAATGTGCCAAGGGTTAGACAAAAGGGAACATTTCTCCTACGGTGAATCTGAGCCAGCCCTCTGTCCCCATCCTTTTCTTCATTAATGCCTATGATACCATGATATCAGATGTTCCTGCACCTATATCTGGTCTGTGTACTACCACTCTATCTTTGTTTTGTTTTACCAGTAAACTTTCTTAGTCCATAGTTTGATGTGCCCTCAAATTCTTTTTGCAAGCCAGGCTCTGGTAGCTCACTCCTGAAATTCTAGCTACTAGGGAGGCTGAGATCTGAGGATCATGGTTCAAAGCCAGCCTGGGTAGGAAAGTCCATGAGATTCTTATCTCCAATTAACCACCAGAAAACCAGAAGTGGTGCTGTGGCTCAAGTGGTAGAGCACTGGCCTTGAGCTGAAGAGCTGAGGGACAGTGCCCAGGCCCAGAGTTCAAGCCCCACCATGCCCCACTCCTCACCTCCCCACAAAAAATTCTTTTTGCAACATCATGAACTCAGTACCCAAAAGCCAAGTGGAAGCCTCCTCCATTTTAGAGATCTTCTCCTGGTACCTTACTGGTTTAGGTAACATAACAACAGCCTACAATTTTTCTCATTATGTTATTCTTTCTAGCTAACTGGATGATTTAATATTAAAAATAGTGTTATGTCTTAGGAAATTAAAAGTGAGAAAGTACTGTACTTCTAAAACAATGTGAAATCTGGAATAGATTTTATTTATCTCTAAAAATGCAAGTATCAGTTTTTAAGGCACATACATTTTTCTTCAACCACATAACAAGTGCATTAAAATCTAAAATGTCAAAGCTACATAAAATACAACATTATAACATATATGAGACTGGACTTAAATATCTTTTAATTAATTAAAGTCAGACTGGAAATTCTATTAGTTACAGGAACAAACAGTATTTTGAAGAGAAAGGAAGAAAATGTTTTCTTAGTTGGTTCTTAAAGAATTTGAAAGCATTCCAACAGCTCAATGCAAAAAAGTATTTATAGATATTTTAGTAATATGTTTGCTCTTAGAATAGAACAGATGGCAGGATGGAATAAAATGCCATTTCCAGATGCATGGAACTTGGTAGGAACTTAACATTGTGAATTCCATCTCAAGTTTAAACACAGCTGGCACTGCAGCACTTAGGGGAAAATGTTAATAACTACATGATAACCCTTGAAGCCTCACTGAAGGCCTGCTGTCTTGGTGGTGTCTCAGCTGGAGGATACTCTAGAAGTGCCACAGTCCTGCATCTTCAGGCAGGGCTGCTTAGTAAGCTGACTTCCTAGACTGTTAGGACCTCAAAATAGCAGGAACGTGCCAAGGGAGTTTTTCTCTACCCATCCCTCTTTGGAGTCTTATAATATAAAAATAGTTGCTATACACAGTCCTCATTCAAGGGACATGCTGCTCCCACGATTTCCTATCTTCTTGCTAACTTTAAAATTTCATGAATTTTAAAAATACCTAGTTTTTAACAAGAGATGGAGGGTCCCTATGTATGGCAATCTCACTTTGATTAACGTCAAGAATAACAAATAAAATGATATTACCTCAGTAACATGGTGGACACTCTTTACTTTCACATCTGTATTCTAAGCCTTAGAAATGATGAGAGATTTCTTATGTTTTGATTTATCTGAGTTTGGTACCTGTATCAGATTAAAGAACAGTATTTCATTACAAATTGATTATTACTTTCCACTGTACTCAGGAAGATATTCTGCTTAATTATTGTGAGGATTTGGGACAAATAATTTAAATTCTTGGTCATATTACAGGTATCTTCAGAATAAAAGAAAAAAAATACCTGGTTTCCCAAAGAGCTGGATTCCTTGTGGTGACTAGAGTTGGAATGACACTTCTTCAAAGGTTTTGAAGACTCTGGACAAGCTTTTCTTTTCAATCTGCGGGTTCTTTGGCTTACTGTCAATCTGTGGTCACCAATATCGGCTTCTTCAGTTTGATTTGCTGATTGTTGTTGCAGTATTTGGGGACCTTCAGTTTCTATGTCTGACTCAAAAATGTGTGGTTTATTTTTCAGTTTTAGCGACTCGTGGCTTTTCCCTATAATTTGTGCTATGCATCTCCTTGTTAAGTTGTCTTTTCCGTCCACCTGGATATCATTAGTGCTTTTTTTCACACCTAAATCATTATTTGGCATATTCACCGCGCTGCTGGTGAGCTTGTTGCTCTCAGTGAAGCTCAGAGCTGATTGTCCATAAGAAGAGGGATATCTTGACTTATGCTCAGAGGGCTCCATATTTTTTTCTTGCAAAGATCTGGAGCTATTTTGATTTAATTTTCTAGCATGTACCTGAATGTTCCTTTTTTTAATAGCTGGATCTAATTTCAGTTTGTTTTCCTGTGTTATACTAGTTTTAAGTGAAAGCAACTTAGATTCTGTAACATGATTTCTTTTCAGGTTGCTAAGTGCTGAGATATTTTTGTTCATCTGTGACAATCTAGGTTTGAAAACTGGAATGAATTTTGGGGTGATGTTTCTATTGGCGCTTAGACTTGTGTGTTGAACTTGTGCATTTCCTCTCTGGGACTGTGCCTCTTCCAGCTGTGGCTGTGGTATCCTGGAAGGCAGGGGCTGCTTCCTGCCCTGCACAGACTCTGGCTGGCCAAGCGGAGCTGAGGAAGGACCTGCTTGTGACAGTCTGAGGGGCTCCCCCTTGTGGTCGGCTGATATTGAACACGGTTGGAGACTTGGAGTCCAGGCAGGTCCTGTGGAACTGACCTGGGTCAGAGAAACCCTGAATGGTTTTTTAGTGGTCAGATTGGGTGGCTTGACTTTGCTTTCCTAAAAAGACAGAAATTATTTCAAGATAAAGAAGGAAAGTTCTACTTCTCTTTAAATCAATATAAAAGCTGCACACGCTGCTATCATTGTCTTCCAAATGTGCTCATGCAAGCATCTCACTTCCAAAGGCCCCTCCTTCTCTCTGTTCTAAGCTGTGGCTCCTGTCTTTAAAGTCCCACCTCCTCTAAATCTCCTACCAGTCACTACCAGAGTGATTTTTTTCTCTCCAAGGTTCTGTTTTTTGGAGGTAAGGGCCGTGATTTGTTTATTCTAATCCTTTTACATTTACTCACAAATATATATGGAAAAGCATTACTATCTATACTAGGCCTTTAAGAACAAGTGGGATTTTGACTATAGGGTAAGACTGTATTGTTTTACTACTGTTTGCATTTTCTTTGTCTTCTACGGTGTGTGGTGCCTGGTAGCAACTCTGAAAGTACTTGCCAAACTGACTACTAGACAGACAGAAGAGTGTTTAGTCTTCTTTTAAAAGTGTAGTCATCAAGAATAATATGCAAACCAAAACACTTGGTTTTTCTCTCCATTCTTGAGATTCAATAGTTAATGGGGTAAGGATAGAGAAGGGACTAGGAAAAAGATTAGAATTTTAAGTGAGCACAGAAAAATTAGGAATTATCTCACTATTTTATATATCCTGGCAATTATCTATTAGGCATAGCAAAGTTACATAAAAATGAAGTGGTTTGGCTTGGAATAGTGGTATGTGCTTGTAATTTCAGACTTTGGGAAGTAGTGGCAGGAAGATTATGAATTCAAGGCAAGCCTGGGCTACATAGACAGTGTCTCAAAAATGGCTCAGAAAACAATGATTTCAACATAGAAACTTTGGGGAACACAATTTATATATCTCTGGAGTAAAAAGGAATGTAGTAGCAGTTCTGAAGGCCTTCTACAAGGGAGCTAGCATAAGTAGAAATAGTAGGAGAAACACTGTACACAATCTCTGTCAAGATACCATAGGAGCAGTGACCAGCATCACCAGAGCAAGTCTAGAAATTAAGGCCTTGCTTTCCCCAGTAGCCATGGTAAACTAAGTTCAACCTTCATTCCAGTCTCTTCCTAGTACTCCTTTCTGGACTAGAGCCTGGAAATCTCATAGTTAGGGTTTAGGGCAGAGGCATATATAAAGTATCTGGAAGGAGGACGCTGTACTTGTGGCTGTTTTGATGAGAAGATCCATTATGAATGAGTCTTTGATTTCAGATAGTTAGAAGAGCTGCAGTGTCTAGTCACCAGCTCTGTGGGTGTTGGTCAGTGCAGTTAAACCTTCGGACATCCACACTCTGCTATAGATTGTTAGGCAAAACTACCAGTGCCCTTCCTGCACCTCTCCACCCTTACCCTACCCAGCCTCTGTAAGCACACAAATGCATACCTATCACTTGAAACATCAAAGAAACTCACTTCAGGTAGATTCACATAAGGATAAATGACCTATATATTCTATATTCTGGTATAAAACTTCAAAAAATACATGTCTTGTGTCTGAAATATTTCTGCTTCTTCTTATTGGTCTCGGAAATATATATATAGAAAAGATAAATTCAGGGAGTTTGTTTGCCCTCTGGCCTGTCAATACATTATTTACTCATTGTTTTAATTTTTAAAATACTATAAATAGCCTAAAGGTGAACACTTCTAAATTTATATTTGAAATTCATAAAAAGACTAAAAAAGGCCTATGCAAACAGCAGATGAAGTAATAAATAATTCACAAAACTCAAATATGCTTAAGTGGTCAATAAACTAAAGCTTTATGAAGTGATGATCCAACCCCAACATCAGCTTTATTATATCAATGTCATTACTCTGTTAGGTGTCACTGGAAAATTTAGCTTGGTTAACTTTTAATTTCTAGACTTTCCATATGATGTTTGGAACTTTATACAATTACATACAATTATAAAGGAAAACAAAAGAATTAGCCTATATTTAGGTATGAAGGTAGTTAATGGAGGTCTAGTATTAAGATGATGGCTAAAACTTGAGGAATAACCAAAATGACTGATTAAATTTGTTTTATCATTAAAAGCCAGTTCTGTGCATGGCATCACCTGAGTACGTTAGTTACTTTTCTCATCTGGGTGATAAAATTCTGACATAACCAACTTAAGGAAGGATTTATTCTGGCCCACAGATTCAGAAGCTGTTGGTGGAAAAAGCAGAGCAGAGCAGTTCACTTGATCATGACCAGAAAGCAGAGAAACAGGGAATGCAGAAAGAGAACAGTGCAGGTTAACTGCCAACAATCTACCCTGAGTGACTGATTTCCTCCAACTAGCCTCCATGTCTCACCACTCACCACCTCCCAATAATGTCAACCCTCTCATTAGGCCACAGTTTTCATGATACAATCCTCTTTGGAAATGCCTCCAGACACCCAGAGTGCACTACTTACTAAGGGGGCATGTCTAAATTCAATCAAGTTGACAGCCAAAATTAACCATCACATACTGTATGAACTAGTATTTGGTGATATTAAGGGATGATTGTTAATTCAGTTAGGTGACATGGAACTATGTCAAAACGTATTTTTATAAAGCTCTTATGTGGTGGAAGACCATATTACAGTCTTCAAAGGCAAAATAATACTTTATCTGAAATTTGTTTTGAAAACAAAGGCAAAATAATACTGTATCTGAAATTTGTTTTGAAATATTTTATTTTACTCATCATCTAAAATTATGTAAAGAAGGAGCTAGATAATAAACATGTGAGTATTCATGTATGTTTGAAATGTTTTACAAGTGGAAAAAGAGCTAGCTTGATCCTCTTGATAATTTTTTAAACAGTCAATTTTTTTTCTTTCTTTTTCTTTTTTTTTGCCAGTCCTGGGGCTTGAACTCAGGGCCTGGCCACTGTCCCTGAGCTTTTTTTGCTCAAGGCTAGCACGCTACCACTCGAGCCACAGCACCCCTTCCGGCTTTTCCTGTTCATGTGGTGCTGAGGAACTAAACCCGGGGCTTCATGCATGCTAGGCAAGCACTCTATCACTTAGTCCACTGCCAGCCTGATTCAGTCAAGTTGTAAAAATTCAGACAAGATGACAAAGGCTTGGCTATTTTCACCAATAAAGAATCTGATGGACCACTTTAGCCCCAGGATTCCAGAGAAGGTTGTTAGCCAAGGCCATCTGGCACTGGCTTTGCTGTTGATGTCTTTGCCCAGTCTTGCTTCTTTGTCATCTCCCTGAGTGTGGCTTCCAAGGAAAGGCACTGACAAACATGCGGATCATTGAAGTCCACATTGTTCTCAGAGTGCAATCTGTGACAAGAGCCGTCCATCATCGCCACTACTGCCTCCCCATCCCATTTACAGCGGAGAAGACTGACACTGGGAGATAAATAGCTTGCCCCAACTACACAGATAGTAAGGAATTCAAATCTAGATAGCTTGTGAATGCAGCCTGAGTTCTAAACAGAAACTGAAACTTGTCCCCAGTTACATCACCAAAAATCAGACTTCTTGAGTTTCAATGAAAAACTCAGAAAATGATTCTCTCAATAATGGGTCTTTGTTGATAATTAACTGAGATGACACATACAAAAGAACACATTGAGAAAGCATCAGACCCATATTTTCAGTTTCTTTTTATGGGGAACAATATAAAGAACACAGTATCCCTTGAACTGAATGACATAATACCATTTCTTACCTGTATAATAGGTTTGCTGAGTTCCTGTGTGTAGTAGCATGGTTTATTTGTCATCTTTATGGGAAATCCACATATATGAGGCAGTTTAGATTTTAAATCTGAAAGGAAACTTTTTAATACACCTTCCAAATCTATTCTTGGGAAGAACTGAACAGGCTGACTTCTGATGCAAGTGAGAGGATATCTGAACAAGGTTAAAGAACAACAGCAACGTTTTTTTTGTGAGAGATAACAATTTTTGTTTCTGTCTTTTTTTTCAGGTCCAAGACTGGGACTGAAACTTATACCTGCTGCTTTGCTCATTGGTTAGCACTTTACCAACCAAACCATGCTTCTAACCCCCCAGTTTCTGTTTTTAAAAAGGTACTAAAAGTAACAATGTTATAAAGACATATAAACAAATTGTAACTGTTTTATGCTGCTTATCCAAAGCTGAAAAACATGCTTCCCTGGTCTTTATTTCTCCTTTCATAAATGTTATTTTTTATTAACAGTAATTTTATGTTTATAGTGCTCAGTATGGTGTTCTGATATAACACAAGGCAATTCATTGTGCCCTTATTATGTGACTTTCTAAGTGGGCTGGCAAATTAAGTTATTCCAAAAATGATTTATAAAGAAAGACACTATGGCCCTTTTAAATTACAGAAACAAATGTCATGCAACAATGAACAGGTTGTATTTCCAAAAACAGTAAAAAAAAAAAAAACAGTATAGAGAAACACCACATATCAATTATATTCAGACTCCAAAAGCAATTCTTTGAGGCAAGTAATTACTTTTTCTGATGAGAAGTATTCTGTGAACTCTGCAATAATGTGTTGATCTCTAATAAAAGGGAACATCTGTAATACCCTACCCATAGTTTCCCTTTGGAGACACTGGTTAAGAAATAGAATACAGAGAGGGAATGTTATGGCTCTTCTGTCTTCCATATCTATACTCCAGTTGGTCAGAACACAAAGACTAACCCGCAGGAATGATGAAATCAGTGCTCACTAAGATTTAAGAGCTCCACCTAGGCCCTTGTGCTTTTCCTTAGCATGCAGCTAAGAAAGACATTTTTTAAATCAATGCAGTACAGCAAGTACATATCAAATCTTCTAAACTCTGCCTGTAAAGGTAAATATTCTTCCAAAACCTAAATATGCTGTTCATTAACTGGTTTCTTTAATCCAATACTTTAAATAATATCCAAAGTTTCACTAGAGGGAGCACTTAGATAAGGAGAATCATATGATACTTCATGTGTATAAGGAAACAAATGTAAATATTTTGTCTATTTCAAATTTTTCTTTGCTGTCTAAATTGTTAAATAGTATTAAAGGAAAACTTATTTATCAATATCATGTGCAAATAAAATTGGGTAGAATTGTAAGGAAAACAAAAACCACTGGTTCAAGTAAAAGGTTCATGTGGGGCTTGGAGTAAAACTAGACTATGGGGTGAGCAGAGCATGCCTGCTATAGAAAGGATACGTGAAGGTCCTTTCTCCAATCATTTTGAAGTAGATGTTGCAGTATATTTTCATCTTTCCACATTCTTCTGGAAGTTTATATCCATACTATAAATTAAGCACAGAATTTAAATCATCCTGGAGAAAGCTAATCTTAGGTTAAATTACTAGAAACTAAAACCAAATGACTTTTAATGAGATACATATTTCTGTTCTTACCAGGTCATCCCAATGCATCTGGAGATCTTTGAATGAGTGAAAGGGACTATCAGGGGGTATGGCATGGAGAATATTTATAATTTGCCCCATTTTCATACTATGAAAAATGAGAATTGGGAAAATATGAGACAGTATATAAATTTGGTTTGACAAGTTAACTATGTGATCCGGAAAGTGTTCAAAAAGACTTAGCAACTATCTCATTATTCATGCAAATAATATACATTTGCTTCTAGTTTCAAACACTGTGTATGAAACCTTTGTCTTACTGAAAAGTTATATATCCTCATCGTGTATAACAAGATTTGGAATAGGTATACACTGCAGAATGGCTAGATCCAGGTAACTAATATATGCATTAAAACACACACAGACACATAGATTTTGTTGTAAGAATACTTCAAGCCTACTTGATTTTCAAGAACACAGTATTTGTCATTAATCACAGTTATTATGTTGCATAATAGATTGGCTTGTGTTATTCCTATCAAACTGAAATTCTCTATCCTTTGATCACTATCTCCTTAACCCCATCCCACGACATCACCTCAACCTCTAGTGAAACTTATCAGATTCTATATATGAGATCATGTGGTATTTGTTTTTCTATCTGGACTTTTTTTCACTCAAGGCTGAATTGCACTCCATTGTTAATATGTAGCACAAGTTCTTTATGCATTCTACCACTGATAGGCACTTGGATTGTATCCACATCTCAGCCACTACAAATAATGCTACAATGAACAGGGAGTGTACTTATCTCTTTGACATGCTCATTATATTTCCCAGTAGTGGGAAAGCTAGGGCATAAGGCAGTTCAATTTTCTGAGTTCTATCTTTTGAGGAACTTCTACCCTTACCTTCTAAACTTAGCTCATATCACATTCTAGTGAATCATTATTAGGTACAGATTTACTAAGTTTTTGTATTAAGAGCTATGATAGTTATTTTAATGTAAAACATGGAAATTTTGCCATTTTTGAAACTAGATATAATAAAAATAATTTTAGTAGCATAACGAGGGAAATTTATTGCATCTTATATATGACAATTATGTTCCAGTATCTTTTTTTGGGGGGCGGGGGTCAGTTGTGGGGCCTGAACTCTGGGCCTGGGTGCTCAGCTCTTCAGCTCAAGGTTAGTGCTCTAACACTAGAGTCACAGCACCACTTCCGGCTTTTTTTCTGCTTATGTGGTGCTGAGGAATCCAACCCAGGGCCGCATGCATGCAAGTCAAGCACTCTACCACTGAGCCAGCTTCCCAGCCCTGTTCCAGTATCTTAAAGTTTCAATTCAGTTTATAGTTTTGTACATATCATTGGTAAGCAAGCAAAATAAGAGGAAATTACTAAATTATATGGTGAATGTACCTTACCTTGGTAAAACATAGCACCAGTTGCTCAAAATGGAATGTTTCTCAATGACAGCATGCTGATTGGCATAAAAATCTTGTAAAACATTCTGAGAAATATCGAACTCCTTTAGCTTTTAAGGAAATAAGATTTTGATGGGTAAGTCTTCGAAAAACTTGGCAAAGAAAAATAAATATTAAAAAATACATATCTTAGCAGGGAGCCAATGGCTTACGCCTGTAAGGAGGCTGTGATCTGAGGATCAGTTTGAAGCCAGCCTGAGTAGGAAAGTTCATGAGACTTCAATTAACCACCAGAAAAGATGAAAGTGGAACTGTGGCTTAAGTGGTAGATCATTAGCTTTGAGCAAAAAAGCTCAGGGACAGCACCCAGGCCCTGAGTTCAAGTCCTAGAGGTGGAGCAAAAAAACTCCCAACACATTTCTTGTCGGATGCTGCTTGGTGGCTCACACTCTTAAATCTTAGCTATTTAAGAGGCTTGGATCTGGAGGATCATAGTTCAAAGTCAGCATAGACAGAGAATAACCAGTAACAAATAACCTAATAGCCAATATTAAACTTTAATAACAGGAAAATTAAATTCAATTATCTCTTTTAGTCCTTGTGGAGAACAGATGAAAAGATCATACTTAGTGGGAATATAGTCTTGTACAAAACTAATTTTCATAGCAGTCAGAAGGTAAAAAATTGCATATCTGTGTCTATTTATCTACCTCTCTATATATAAATGAGATTCTGAGGAGCAGACAATCAATCATTATTTAAAGAATTCATTTAATTTAACAAACATGTATTGAGTGTATAGTGTTGAACAGAGGAGAAGAATGTCTTGGTCTAATTTGTGATATTTCCTTGCCTGACATGAAAGCTCTACTGACACATATTCCTGGTGTCACTCTTCCCCATTATTCATTCCCTTGAGGGGACAATTAGGTGACTTAGACACTGCTACAGCTACTATGGTTGGGATGAATAACTAGGCATGCTTGACCAAACCACTCCCGCTTCTCAGCAGCTTGCTGGCGAAGACAGTATCCTGCATTCTGTTATGTTGGAAATATTGCCTAATCTCACAAGGGACTGTGGTTTTCTGTCATAAGTAGGTAGATAAATCTACTCAATCCTAGGGTTCAGACAGACAACTCTTTTTAATGAATTTTTCCTTTTTTTTTTTTTTTGGTTGGTCATGGGGCTTGAACTCTGGGCTTAGGCACTGTCCTTGCACTCTTCAGCTCAAGGTGAGCACTCTACCGCTTGAGCCACAGTGCCACTTCCAGTTTTCTAGTGGTTTATTGGAGATAACAGTCTCATGGACTTTCCTGCCTGGGCTGGCTTTGAACCGCGATCCTCACATCTCAGCTTCCTGAGTAGCTAGGATTACAGGTATGAGTCACCGGTGCCCGGCTTTTTTGCCCTTTTAAGTAATAATCAGTGTGGCCATATATCCTAGCTCATGCAAGTTAGAATGGGTATATCATCAGGTCAATGTCCCTTTCATTTCCAGAAATGCCACATTTGGAATAATAAACTATTATTAAATAAATAATAAAAATAAATTAATATAACCTCTTGATGTAAAACTCTCTTTTTTAATCTCTAAATTAGTTCAAACTCAGATGTAAGAAAGATGAGGATAAGGCATTTTTGGATGCCATCTGCAAATATATTTGAGCAAAGAACAATATGAGACCTGCATTAAGTGACCAGAGTATTTCCTTTGGGGAAGAAGATTTAGAATAAATGTATCAAGCATTTAGTAACATTCATTTAAGTAGCATAAATCTTCTATAACCTTCATGTTAAAAATTAAAATCTGATAGTATGTTAGTAGTAAATATAGTAACTGTACAGTAACTTATGGAAGTCAAGTATATGGTACCTCAGCTGGTGGCAGCCTGATAGTGCAAACCTCTATACCCAGACAAATGTAAGTTTCTGTTACATTGATGTCTAACACTAAAAAACAAAACAAAACATAAAAAACTGTGAACTGTCTGGAATTATTCCATCACATCATATTTCAAGTATTTTAGTAACATAAATCATTTAAGTTAGAAACTAAGGCAACATATGTTTATAACATAGTAAAATCAAGTAATCACCATATGTTTTGCAGTTTACAGATAAGACATCTAATGATAAAGATGTATGAAACAACATGGATGTGTGTGAGAGGAAGCTCACAGGAGGTTGTTACAATAAGAAGACAACTTACAGTTTAGAGGAAGTCTTAACAAACACATATTTATACAAGTCTAACATTTATTATTTATTAAAAGTGGAGACTTCCATCTTCTAAAATCTAGAGAGGTCCTATGCCAGGCTTTTGACCTGAGTAGTTTTTCATTAACAAATTTCCTCAAATATACTGGCAGATATATTACGGATACATTGTACTGCAGATAGGTATGTTTTCACAAATGAAAACATTTCATGTCAGGATAGTGGTGACCTTGAGAAGGGGTATTATCTAAAGAAAGCAGTGGGGGGGTTAGGCCGTATTGATGATGCCTCTTGATCTGAGAACTGGATAAGCTTCATTTGCAAAAATTCACGGAGTACCCATGTATGGTACCCTCTGTATAGTATTTTCACAATAAAAAAAAAAATCAATGAGTAATTCAGGTGCTGGTGGCTCACGGCTATAATCCTAGCTACTCATAAAGCTGAGATCTGAGGATAGCGGTTTAACGCCAGCCAGGGCAAGAAAGTCAGTGAGATTCTTATCTCCAATTAACCACCAGAAAACCGGAAGTGGAGTTGTAGCTCAAAGTGGTAGAGTGCTCGCCTTGAGCACAAAAGTTCAGCGACAGTGCCAGTCCCTGAGTTCAAGCCCTATTATGATGGACAAAAAGCCAACAACAAAAAAGCAGTAAAACCCACAAACCTCAATGAGTACAATTTTTGAAGTTTTAACTCAGTATGTTAATATTTTAACACATGAATGAGGAATTTTGTTCTTCTAAACTGTTATCCTGACCCTCTAGCTATAGTGTCATCCTAGTATTTGTGTATGAAACTAAAGTCGTGATAGAGTCATAGATATGATTCATCCAGAACTAGAGCAGGGTGACTGCTATGAGTGCTGGCAGGGTAAACAGGCTTCAACTGGATGGTCTACTCAGCCACAGCAGTTAGTGGCTACAGATCAGGATTGTACAGCGAGGCTCAAAGGGAGGGAAAGCTACCATGACTAATAAATGAGGCCACGATGGCTCAGGGCTTCCACCCCAGCTGCTGTCTCACTACTGCTGTTTGGGAACCTGTCTACTTGCAATGGAACCTTGCTATAATATAAGAATTAGATTATTTGTGTCCCTCTAGGTAATGTTTTTCAATATAGTTTTTTTTTTTTTTTTTTTTTTGTCGGTCGTGGGGCTTGAACTCTGGGCCTGGGCGTGGTCCCTCAGCTCTTCAACTCAAGGCGAGCGCTCTACCACTTGAGCTACAGCGCCACTTCCTCTAGGTAATGTTTTTAAAGGAGAAAAAAGTACATTAGTATTAATAACATTTTATACTATTATTCTGGGAACTACCTTCAGAGTGAACTCTTTCATGATTACAATTTTCTTAAGTAGAGAAAAAAATACAGCTTTTTCCAACCAAGTTTTTTTCTGAAGTAGGTTAATACTTTGAATAAGAAGTAATTTCTTATGTATGAATTTCTGATATCTGATTAGATTCAATGATTAGATTCAACACCAGTTTTAGTAAGTGTGAGTTTAATATTAATGTCTTACCTATTGACTTAAATATTTTACTTACCAACAGCACTTTGCTTTCCCATCTGAGAAAGAAAATCTCTTCCTTAAAAATTCACAAGATATGTAATGTTATTACAACTCAGAAATAATCATAAATTGATAAAAAAAAAAACAACCTTTTGATGTGAAATTATCAAAGAAAAATATTTTAAATTGAAATTATCCAAAGAAATGTAAGAGTTGAAGAGATAAAAAAATCTCTTAAATGAGAAAAACAGAAATATCCATTGTTTCACAATTAGTTATCATCGGGCTGGGAAGTTGGCTCAGTGGTAGAGTGCTTGACTCGCATGCATGAGGCCCTGGGTTCGATTCCTCAGCACCACATAAGCAGAAAAAAGCCAGAAGTGGCGCTGTGGCTCAAGTGGTAGAGCGCTAGCGTTGAGCTGAAGAGCTGAGGGACAGCACCCAGGCCCAGAGTTCAGGCCCCACAACCGGACCCAACAAACCAAACAAACAAACAAACAAAAACACAATTAGTTATCGTCCACAATAAAACTTAAAAAAAATTAAAAGGTAATCTCTTAGTTCCAAAATATGAATGATTTGTGTGTGTATGTATGTGTGTTTTGTCAGTCATGGGGCTTGAACTCAGGGCCTGGGCACTGACCCTGAGCTCTTTTTTGCTCAAGGCTACCCGCTCTACCACTTAGAGCCATGGCTCCACTTCCAGTTTTCTGGAGGTCAATTGCAGATGAGTCTCATGGACAGTCCTGCCCGGGCTGGCTTTGAACTGGGATCCTTAGATCTCAACCTCCTGAGGAGTTAGGATTATAGGCATGAGCCACTGGCAACTGGCTGATTTGGGGGAGGGGAGCAAGGGGAGGGAACGTATGAGAAAAATGAGGGAAGGGGTAATAATATTTGACAAAAAATGTACTCATTATCTTATGTAACTATAACCCCTCTATATCACCTTTATAATAAAATAAAATTAAAATTAAAAAATCGTAATGTTTCTTGTTTATTCCTTATTACCATGTTACATAATTTTAAAAAATTAAAGTCTTATCAGCAGATCTCTGTACATTATCCCAAAGTAAGAAGGTAACATTAGTATTGCTTTAGGTTTCTTGGAAAATGCTTAGTTACAGATGTTTTCAAAACTATTTGTTAAAAATAACTTGATATTAAAAAGAGATATACATAATAGAAGTAATCTAGTTCAGAAAGTCCCAATGACTGACAGACATGAATTTACCTTGTACCAAGAGATAGCCCATTCTGTTCCAGGCTGGAGCAAGTCTAGCTGGGAATGAATATGAAAGGCAGTTTTGAAGAATTACAGGAATTACTCGTTGTGGGGCCTCCATCTAAAAACAGTAACAACAAAAATCACCAAATTAAAAGCAATTGCTATGTTTCTATAAATCCACAGAGAATATCTTCATGTTTAGAGTAACACCCAACAAATTGGTCCATTCTGCATAAAAATAATAGTCATTGCTGCTGATAATGCTATGTTTCTAAAATTAAAGAAATATTAAAAGAAATCCAGTTTGGGGCTGGGAAGGTAGCTCAGTGGTAGAGTACTTGCCTAGCATGCATGAAGCCCTGGGTTCAATTACTCATCACCACATAAGCAGAAAAAGCAGGAAGTGGTGCTATGGCTCAAGTGGTAGAGTGCTAGCCTTGAGTTGAAGAGCTGAGGGACAGCGCCCAGGCCCAGAGTTCAGGCCCCATGACCGACAAAAAAAAAAAAAGAAAAAAGAAAAAAAAGAAAAAGAAATACAGTTGAAACCACCATTACTACCATGCTGTATGGCCAAATTCTGTTTACCCTAACCCAGGAACTCTACACTTTGAAAACTCCTATAATCAACCTAACTCTGTATACTGTTTCACAGAGGAACCTGAGTCATTATTAGCTTATATTTTTCATTATTGTTCACTGCAGTTTAACTTCAGAAATACTTACATACTTACAAGGGCACACAAGAAACCAAATGTGTGTCTTTATGTGTGTAGAATTATTTTTTTAAGTCAGGAGTTTTACTTCTGAAAATAAGTAATAGGGATCGGATTCATCTTCCCATTTGAGACATCTAAAAAACTGACTTATATGAACCAAGTGATGCTAGACATGGTGCGTCAAAGAAGAATGAAACCCAAGAGATGGGAAACCAACAAAATGAGCCCTATGACTTTCCCTGCTTATTAATTTTTTTGGGGGGGTTGGTCGTGGAGCTTGAACTCTGGGCCTGGGCGCTGTCCCTCAGCTCTTTAGCTCAAGGCCAGCACTCTACCACTTGAGCTACAGCGCCACTTCCAGTTTTCTGGTGGTTTATTGGAGATAGGGGTCTCACTGTCTCTCCTGCCCGGGCTGGCTTTGAACCACGATCCTCAGATCTCAGCCTCCTGAGTAGCTAGGATTACAGGTGTGAGCCACCAGCACCCCGCTCCCTGCTTATTAATTATTAATTGAGACACCTGGTAAAAGCCGTTAAAGGGAGGTCCAAAAAGCTAATAAAGGGCTGGGAAGGTGGCTCAGTGGTAGAGCACTTGCCTTGCATGCCTGAGGCCCTGGGTTCGATTCCTCAGCACCACATAAGCAAAAAGAAAAAAGCCAGAAGTGGCACTGTGGCCCAAGTGGTAGAGTGCTAGCCTTGAGCTGAAGAGCTGAGGGACAGCGCCCAGGCCCAGAGTTCAGGCCCCATGACCAGACCCCCCCCCCCAAAGAAAAAGAGAGAATCAAAGGTGGAGACAAGGCAGTTTATTATACAAACATCTTGAAAATATAGTCCAGAATAAAAAAAAAAGGCTGCTTTGTGACTATGGGAAAAAGGAGACAGTTATGGAGGATTTTCTCCAAGTATTAAGCATTCCTCACTTTTGAACCACTTTGGTTTCCAGTGAAATATTTCCAGAACACACTAGAAGCACCTAGCAGGGGATGGGCTCACAGCTGCTCTGTTTGCCTCATAGAAAGCGTACTTACGGCTGTATCGATAGGACTCCACATGGCAGGATGATGGCTACCTCAGTTATGCTCACTTCAATGATAGTTCCAGAGACACAGACCCCAAGCAGCTGACCAAAGCTCACAAACCATTGGGGTCTACTTGGAAAGTCAAATTAATTTTTCCTTAATTTCTGTGCTGATGTTTTCCTTGATCTGAGGAATGAATCCCAATATAGCAGTATGTATCAGCACAGACTCAGTCTGACATGCAGGCAAGGATGGACAATTCTATCATTCACAACCATCTGTGCCAGTGATCTAAGATAATGTCAGGATGTAAAACAAAGTCAGGGGCAGATTCTCTACTATCTTTTTATTGGGTGATTCCCATAACAGGAAAAATCTGTGCATGGGATGTGCAAGAAGAATAAATTATTTATCCCTGTTGAAAGCTCCCCAAATCACCAACAATTCTCACAGTTCATAAATGGTCCTAAAACCAGAATCTTTAGATGACCAAAGGCTTGTCACAGCAAAATGATTTAATCATCATCTATCCTACTATTCCTAAACAACACTATGTTCCCACACTGTGACTGGTGATTAAAATAAACATCTAGATTAAAATAAACTTTTAGGTCATTCAGAGATATCTCAGGACATGGTAAAGAACATTTAGAATTCATAAAACTTTATGATCTTCCCAGAAGCTAATGGCAACATTTCATCTTGGAGGTGACCAGAGGCCTCACTGTCCTGAACCCCAGCAGACTGAGGAACAGAGGCTAACAGTGGCTGCTGGCCAGGCTGCTGGAATAAGTGCATTACATTGCCCAGAGGTGCTACAGAAGTATGCTGTAAGCTTTAGCCAATGTCTCATGATTTCATTTGCTGAAATAAAGGGGGGACAACTCTAGATTTGCACTTTTTCTCATTGCTAAGCTCTAGAAGTTCATCTTCAAATAGAATGCAATGCACAGTGTTTTGTTTCTCCACATTAGGTATATAATTGTGGACAATAATTCCATCTCTGTAGGTTTCACTTACTTCCTTTGTAAAAATGGGGAAATGTGATTATTTAAAGATATGTACAGTAAATGAAAATGCTACATAAAATCCTGCAATTAAACTAACAACAAAACATAGGCTTCTTCCTTTCCTTCTGTGTTAAATGTGCACAAAATGATTGCTTGTAAAAATTGTTGGGTTCTTTCATGAGCACAGTAATAATTTATGAGAAAGATACTTCACTTTTTGTTTGTCAACAGAATAAGTTGAATATATAGTCAATATCATAACACACGAAATTACTATCCTTTAAAAAAACTTACCTTAGCTCCATGATTTTCAATGTAGGCATTGAGATTCCCAGCTTTAAAAAATGATATCTATAACAAAAACCCACATTTGTAAAAAGGACTTAACATAAATATATAACTAAATAATTTAATAAATACATAAATATTTTAAGCATAATGCAGCAAAGGGCATAAAATCAAACCATCATTTTAGCAGCTTCTATGTCATGAAGCCCTGATATCATTCTTTCCCTGATTTAGAATCTGTGTGTACATTCTCAAAGTTAGGAAAACCTCTACCAACGATGTGACTCCTGATGCCACTTAAAGGAAGGGCCAATAAATTTCATATGTAAATGGTTCCCATCTTTTTTAATGTATAATGAATTCTTAGACATAAATGAAGAGAAAGGACATGAATGGTAGTCCAACTTCAAAATGCCTATGTGCTCCAATTAATTAATAAAAAATACAAATTAAAGAAACACTTTTTTCAACATCATAGATTTAAAGACTGCTAATATACAGTGTATTTTTGTTTTGTCGGTCGTGGGGCCTGAACTCTGGGCCTGGGCATTGTCCCTGAGCTCTTCACCTCAAGGCTAGTGCTCTACTACTTGAGCCACAGAGCCACCTCCGGTTTTCTGGTGGTCAATTGGAGATAAGAGTTTCACGGACTTTCCTCAGATCTTAGTCTTCTGAGTAGCCAGGATTACAGGCGTGAGCCTCCAATGCCAGTTTTTTAAAGGACCTCAAAAACAAATTCTTTCAAATGTCATTTGCTAAAAATGTAATCTGTAACAAATTTTTCTGAGAGTAACTTAGCAATATCTATAGTTGAAAATGCATTACAAAATACACTTTAAGAAAAATGAGGGCTGGGAAGGTGGCTCAGTGGTAGAGTGCTTGCCTTGCATGCATGAGGCCCTGGGTTCGATTCCCCAGCACCACATAAGCAAAAAGAAAAAAAGCCAGAAGTGGCGCTGTGGCTCAAGTGGTAGAGTGCTAGCCTTGAGCTGAAGAACTGAGGGACAGTATCCAGACCCAGAGTTCAGGTCCCACGACCAGACCCCCTCCCCCCCCAAAAAAGAGTCCTAGAAACAACCAGACAAATAAAAATAACTTCAGTGCTGCTTTCTGAAGTACTATGCTTATACTAACACAACTGAGATGTGCATTAGAAAGCTTAAAATAAATTACTGCACATCTGTACAATAAAACATTTCACTGTTTAAGAATGAGGAAGATGGGCTGGTGCTGGTGGTTCACACCTATAATCCTATTTGGGAGGTTGTGATCTGAGAATCACTCACAGCCAGCCCAGGCAGGAAAGGCTATGAGACTCTTCTCTCTGATTAAACACACACACACACACACACACTCTGATTAAACACACACACACACACACACACACACACACACACACACACACACACACATACAGAAAGCCAGCTGTGGTAGAGTGCTAGCCTTGAGCAAAAAAGCTCAGGGATGGCACCCAGTCCCTTAGTTCAAGCCCCAGGATCATCACAAATAAAAGGAAGATGTACACATTAACATAGAAAAGTATCCAGTGGAGTTTATTAAAGGGAATATAAAAGGCAAGTTTAAAATAATGAATCCCATGTTCTAGTATATGTAAATACACACAGACACACAGACACAGACACAGACACACACACACACACACACACACACACACACACACACACACACACACACACACACACACACACACACACACACACACACACACACAAAGAGGCCAAGGCCTTGGTTTATTTATTTTCTTGCCAGTCTTGGGGCTTGAACTCAGGGCCTGGGCACTGTCCAGAGCGTCTTTTGCTTAAGGCTATCACTCTACCACTTGAGCCACAAAGCTACTTCCATCTTTTTCTGTTGATATGATACTGAAAAATTGAACCCAGGGCTTCACGCATGTTAGGCAAGCACTCTACAACTAAGCCACCTTCCCAGTCCAAGGCCTTGATTTAAATAGTGAGAAATGGATGGCTTTCTGCTTGTTGGGCCTCCTTTCTGTTTCTTGTAAGGTTGTGATGGCAAAATAAATAAAACTTTTAAGTTAAAAACAATAACACTGAGTTCTTTTACAGACATTTGATATTCTAAATTGAAAAACTTCTTTAAGTGTAACTCTAAGGAAAGAATATGATCAAAGCTATAAATTCTATGCTATCTTAAAAATTATTCTTAATAAGTCTATTCATTTATTCATTAACAAATCTACTTAGAAAATTAAATATTAGTTTAGAACCACAAAAATGGATCTTAAACCTTAGGCACATCAACGTCTGTTAATTGTTCAAGCTACAACATAGAATGATTAACTATCTTTACTTTCAGCTACTATACATGAATTAGTGTTCAATATAACTCTCAATAGTTGGTAATACTAACCGCCATCACTACCCAAATTTGGTTTAATATTCCAGGCACAGGGGCTGTAAGAATATCTTGATGTAAAAGTAGCAATTGCCTGTGGAGAAGAATATGTTAATTTCAAAATGGGCTTGTACATTGTCTGTGCTTTTGCTTATTTAGAACATTTAGAGATTTTGTTTTCCTAAAATTTAAGTTCCTTCCGGGCAAAGAGCATGTTAAAGACTTCTGTGTCTCTCATTGAATTTAGTATGGAAGCTTGAACATTGCAGGGCCAGCCAATGTTGGAATTAAGAGGGTTAATTACAGGGCTGAAGGGGGGTCAAGTGTAAGGATCCATGCTTAAACTTCAGTGCTGAAAAAAGAAGAGAGTTATGAAATCGCACCTGGTGATAGAGACCTGAAAATTTCTCTCTCTTTTTTTCTTTTTCTTTTTTCTTGTCGGCCCTAAGGCTTAAACTCTGGGCCTGGGCACTGTCCCTCAACTCTACAGCTCAAGGCTAGCACTCTACCACTTAAGCTATAGCACCACTTCTGGTTTTCTAGTGGTTTATTGGAGATAGGAGTCTCATGGACATTCTTGACCAGGCTGGCTTTGAACTGCGATCCTCAGATCTCAGCCTCCTGAGCAGCTAGGATTACAGGCATGAGCCACTGGCGCCGGTTTTCTTTTTCTTTGTTCTAGTCCTGGAGCTTGAAAGGGGGAACTGTCCCTGTTTTTTTGCTCAAGGCTAGCATTCTACAACTTGAGCCACGGCTCCATTTCCAGTTTTTTGGTAGTTAACTGGAAATAAGAGTCTCTTGGAGCCAGGCGCTGGTGGCTCACACTGGTGGCTCAGCCACTCAGGAGGCTGAGATCTGAGGATCACGGTTCAAAGACAGCCTGGGCAGGAAAGGCTGTAAGACTTTTTATCTCCAATAAACTACTAGAAAACCGGAAGTGGCCCTGTGGTTCAAGTGGTAGAGCGCTCACCTGTTGAAGAGCACAGGACAGCGCCCAGGCCCAGAGTTCAAGCCCCACAACCGACCAAAAAAAAAAAAAAGTTTCATGGACCTTCCTGCCAAGGCTGGCTTCAAACTATGATCCTAAGATCTCAGCCTCCTAAGTAGGATGATAGGCATAAGCCCCTGGAGCCTGGCTGAGAATCTGTCCTCATATCTGAGATTTTCAATCTTTTTTCATTTGTGAATCTAAATTCCTTCTTTCAAAATTCCATTTCTCTTCCAAGTATATTCCTTCTCCTCCTTCTTCCCTTTGTTGTCTCCCTCCAGAGGCAGGTAGAAGTCTATGGCTCACCTATCAGTAAAATTACAAATCACCGCAAAATCAGAACTATTAAGTAGATTTCTTTCATTAAAGAAAATTTCTTAAGCCAGAAAGAAGTGAGTAGGAGTTTTAGTTTAGTGATCCCCAACCAAATAAACATCAAAAATTATAATTCAGCTGGGTGCTGGTGGCTCACACCTGTAATCCTAGCTAGTCAGGAGGCTGATATCTAAGGATCACTGTTCAAAGCCTGCCTGGGAAGAAAACCAGAAGTCGTGCTGTGGCTCAAGTGGTAGAGCACTAGCCTTGAGCTGAAGAGCTGAGGGACAGCACCCAGGCCAAGTTCAAGCCCCATGACTAACCAAAAAAAAAAAAAATTATAATTCGGATTACTATCAAAATCTTTTTCAAAGGTTAAAGAAACAGAAGGGACACAATTAAAATTTGAAATTTCTCAATATCACTAATTATTAGAGAACAAGTTTAGATGACTCAGTGTGTGTATGGTGTTGACTTTATAAGTGAGATGGGCTGTTGGGGAGAAAAAAAGACTCTGTAGGTGGGTGGGGTGGATAAAAGAGGTTAAATACTGTTGAAATAGTTTTGTTGCAACTATGGAAGCAAAATAAGGAAACTCGTTGGAGATGTAATTTTGGGGGGGTAGGGAGGAGGGAGTGTGATAGGGTGAGAATGATTGGAATATAGAGTAAATTCGTGTGGAGATATAGTAATGAAATTTCTCCCTTTGTAACTAATAAGAGCTAATAAAACATAAAACATAAAAGAGCTAATAAAACGTAACTAGTAAGAGCTAACAAAACATAAAATAGGGGCTGGGGGTTTAGCCCAGTGGAAGGACGCCCACCCAGCGCACGCAAGGCCCTGGGTTTGGTCCTCAGCCCTGGAAAAAAAAATAAAAATAAATAAAATAGTAACATCTAAAACATAAAAGCAAGTTGGGCCAACCTGCTTCTAGTTGCTTTAAATCTGTTGGAAACCATGTAGCAGGCCCTGCTATCTGGGAAGCAGATGCAAAGGCTCTCTTCATCTGAGAGCTGGATCTCTGTTCTCTGTTCTAGGCCACTGGTTACTATGACGATGAGTTAAAAGTCACTCCACAGGCATAGCAACCTTCAACTCAGGGGCAAACTATTTATTTTAGGATTTTTTTAATTTTTAATTTTTTGCGATTTTAGTATTTTCCAAAAGGGGCACAGGTAAATCTGCAATGGGTATCATTCACTGTATTACACATAAGCAGAAAGAGTTCAGACTCCCTGATGGGCTTGGGTGGAAAAATGCATACACAATATGGAAGAATGTATTATAAATAATAAGGTAATGGAGGATATTCCAAGACTGTTTTCATCACATTTTTTCCCATAGCATTTTTTTCTCTTGAAAAGTCTTACCATATGGCCCAGGTTGGCCTTGAAGTCTTGATCCTCCTGCCTCAGCATCCAGAATGCTGGGATTATAGGCATGCATCACCACACCTACCTTTCTCCTAACAGTTTTATGGGTTTTTGTTGTTTTCTAAGAAATTCACTTAAAAAAACTATCTTCTCATGCATTCTATGAATCCTTCTTTACGTACTTCCTTTAAGGAACTAATACATGGTAAGTCCTCAGTCTTCAGTATTTCAGAGCAATTCTTAGAGAAATACTTTTGAGTGTTTTATGTTTATCTGAAAATTTAGAAATTTTGAAAATTTTATGGAATGTTTAGGTGTCTATAAAGAATATTATACTCACTAATTACTACATATTTTGGGGAGCTTGATTTAATTCATGAATGGAGATGGAACATAAGAGATTGCATATGAAACTAAACAGTGAGAGAGTCCATCTCAAGTAAATGTAATTTAACATACCTAGCCAAAATTGGGATCCTGTATTTCAAATTATATATACATACTGAATATTTTTCTTTGTATGGGGTACATCTAAAACAATCTTATAGATTTTTAAGAAGTCTAAAATGCTTAGTCAGAAGACACATATTTACCTGCACATTTTCATTTGTGTACTCCTAATTTCGGTATCTGCCACTCTTTCACTCAGTATTATCCGGACAGCACAGAGTTTGCGTAAATCTGGAAAGGTGATGAAGAACAGTGACTGCTGCCTAGAATCATTCATATTTTCCTGTAGTTGGGTGTTTTAACAGGCAGACCTTTAAAGATAGAGAGTAATAAAAGATAGTAAACTGTCTAGGCTTTTGCTGGGCTTCAATTATCAATCCAACTCATAATATTTGACATATTGTTAGAATAACAAAACAAAAACAAATTGGCAAGCTCAGTATTTACATTTCACTAATATTTTATTTACCTTCAAGATTTTCTAATGATTTCTAGATTGTTTTGGTACGTTTTATTAAGATATAGGTCATAGAACCAAAAATGATATAGTTGACATAGCTAGGAGGTAGAGATTAGGAACATCAAGGTTTGAGACCAACCTGGGTAAAAAGTTAGCAAGATATCATTTCAATTAAGTTAGGTGTAGTGTGTGCATCTGTAATCCTACTTTGGTGGAAGGTATAAGGAGGAAGATCAGGGTCTGAAGCTGCCTCAATGGAAAAAAGGTAATTCAAAAAATAACTTTAAAAAATTATTCCTCTACCCCTGCAAATAACTACAAGCAAAAAGAGCTGGGGGGTGTGGGTCAACTATTGAAGTTACTGCCTAGCAAAGGCAAGGCTTTGGGTTCAAAACTCTAGAGTGTGTGTGTGTGTGTGTGTGTGTGTGTGTGTGTGTGTGTGTGTGTGTGTGTGTGTGTGTGTGTGTGGTATTTCATATAACAGAATTTACTCAATGCATAATTAAATTTTCTTACTATATTCAGAATTATTCAACTACTAATGCAATAAATTTTAGAACATTTTCATCACCCTCAAAGATAATTTAGCTTTTAAACTTACAGTGGAATACTATAATTAAATAATTATAATGCAAAACACCAACTAATTTATTAAATGAGTAGTCTTCTCTATGTTTCTGCTATCATAAATTTTCCCATAGTTCATGGTTATTCTTGTTACATCTTCTTTGTAGAAGAACAAAATCTTTAAAATAATTTAAAAATCAAAATGTACAGTTGAATCTTCTGCTGTTCCCAATTTTAAGTCACCTCAAGGTTAAAGAATGTATTATTTTGGAAGTAGCACTGTGGCTCACACTGTTAAGAGTGGTAGCCTTGAGTGTAAGAGATCAGGGACAGCACCCAGGCCTTGAGTTCAAGCCCCACAACCATAAAAAAAAAGAAAGAAAAATGTATTATCTTTCATTTTACGTAAAAGGAAACTAAGAGCTCCAAATTTTAATTGTGTACTTTTTTTCCACTAAATTGTCTGGCTTTAAAACTTCTTTTTTAGCACATTTGACAACTGGTAATTCACAGAGCATATCTGAAGTCTTTAATATTACAGAAAACTTAATGTAAAGAGTATGCTAATCTACTGAAGGTCAAGTGCTCTAACAAGTACAAATACATGGGTGGAAGAAACTTTGACTCTAGTTTTTTAACATCAACATACTTTTTCTTTGAGGAGATAAATTAATCACATACTAGCCCAGGAATTGGAACAGTCTTAACCTTGATCACAGTAACAAAAGTGTCATTTGGTGTCATTTGAAGAATGTTGAGAATGTCCTTTGGGCTCCAACCATTTCTCTAAGAAACAAAGGGTTTGAAAACTTCAGTAGATTTTTCTTTTTTTAGGTAGTAACTTGGGTTTGAGCCAAGGATTTCCATGCTGGCTAGAGAGGTGCTCTACCACTTGAACTTCATCCCAGAACTTTTGATGTCTCTGTGGTCTAGTATCAGGGCTTGAAGTCAGAGCCTCCTGTTCTCACTTGGCTCCCATCCCTGTTTTTTCCTTAATAGTATGTTGGGTTTGAAGCGAGACCTGGATCCTCCATACTTACACCTCCCACATTACGTTGTTCAGTAAGGGCTGCACTTAGGGCCTCCTGCAGGTCCTGGGCTTCTAGAACTAGGTGGAACTGAGGGGTTTATTATCTTTTTTTTTGGCCAGTCCTGGGGCTTGAACTCAGGGCCTGGGCACTGTCCCTGAGCTGCTTTTGCTTTTGCTCAAGGCTAGCACTCTAGCACTTGAGCCACAGTGCCACTTTCGGCTTTTTCGCTGTGTGTGGCTCTGAGGAATCGAACCCAGCACTCAGGGCATGCGAGGCGAGCGCTCTACCGCTAAGCCACATCCCCAGCCCTCAACACATTTTCCCCAGAAAGCCAATTCTATGCGTTCCTCACGAAGTATAACCTTAAAAACAAACACCACCAGCCAACCACTGGAACCCGTGAGGCCTACGGCTGGCCAGGCCTTTCCTGCTGTCAAAGCCGGAGGCCGCGAGGTCAGGGCGGCGGACCTGCCCGAGCCCGGGCCGCCAGGGAGGTCGGGGCCCACCCCGTCCCATCCTCCCTCCGGGCTGGGCCCAACCCCGACTCGCTTCCCACACCGGGAAGCCCCCTTGCGCGCAGGGCCTGCTCCGGCCCGCTCTCCTCAGCCCTTCCCTCTCCCTGGAGCTGCTCCGGAGACGCCGGGCTCCCGGCGGGCGCCTCCTCCCAGCATGCCCTGCGCTCCGGCGCCCACCAGACTCCGGGCCCTGTCAAGACCTTCTTCCAGCCTGCTCTCGCTCGTGGGTGTCTGGCCGCCCCGGGGAGCTGTTCCCAGCATGCCCCGTGCCCCAGCCGACCGTACGCACCTCAGTGTCTGGCGGCCCTGGTCAGCGGCTCCCAGCACGCCTTGCTCTCCCAGCACGCCCCGCGCTCCTCGGTGACTGGGCAGCCTCTCCCAGCAGGCTCCGCTCTCCCCAGTGTCTGGCGGCCCTGGTCAGCGGCTCCCAGCACGCCTTGCTCTCCCAGCACGCCCCGCGCTCCTCGGTGACTGGGCAGCCGCACCCAGCAGGCCCATGGCTGCTCAGTGCCTGGCCACCCTGGGCCCCCAGCCGGCCGCACTCCCCGGCATACCCCTATTCCCACCAGGGCTTTCCTCTTTGGGCACTGAGCGCCTCTCAGCGCCGTCCAGAGCTGCCCAGCTGCTCCAGCGTGCCCCATGCCGCTCCAGCACGCCAGGCTACCAGTGTTTAGGCCCACCCGCCCCCATAGACCCCTCGAAGTTGTGTCATACCCGCTGTTGGCAGGGAGAAGCTGGAGCCATCTGGATGTTCCTAGAAGAGGTAAGCTGGCAGAGCACCAGCCAAGAACCCGCTGTGAGCCACAGTGGGTCCAGAGCCAGGGCCACCCAGGCTGCCTGGCTGGCCACAGGACACAGCGCGTACTCCCCTCAGATTCTCATGTCTGCTCTGTGCAAGCTACGGAAGGCCTTGTGCAGACGCTGTGTCCACAACTGGAAGGTCTTAGAAGGCTCATGGCAGGTGCCTCTCGTTCATTTGACAAATATTTACCAAGCACACGGTATTTTCTGTCCTGATGGTCGCAAGCTTTACTTGGGAGCGGGAAAGCTGATGATACCAAGGTCTGACCCACACAGAATTACGGTTAAGTAGTAGTGAAGGGAGAGGGCTTATGCCTGCCTCACGCACTTTTCAAAGGCCAAAGAAGATTCCTCCAAGCAGGCATGCATAGATTTCTGCAGCAAAGATTATCATTAATATTCTTACGAACTTTAGCAATCCAGACAAGATACATCTCCACCTGTAAGCTCAGGCCAACTCTTGCCACAGGTCTTCAAGTACAATGACTTTTGTATGTATACAAGTATTTTATGTAAATTTCTCCTTTCCCTTGCTGAAGCTTACCCCTAGTTCTCTATGTATTCTCATTCCAATGCTCTGTTATTTCTCCCAATTTTGTTGTGGTTACAGTCTTGGAGCTTGAACATGCTCTACCACTTGAGCCACAGCTCCACCTTCTGGCTTTTTGGGTAGTTAGTTGGAGCTGAGAGTCTCATGGACTTTTTCTGCCCAGGTTGGCTTCAAATCTTAATCTTCAGATCTCAGCCTCCTGAGTAGCTAGGATGACAGGCCTGAGCCATCAATGTCTGTCCCAAATATTATTCTTTGGAGTTTAGAGAACTTTTTTTTCTTCTCTTCAGTACTAGAGGCTGAACTCAGGGCTTTGTGCTTTCCAGGCAGGTACTCTACCACTTGAACCATGTTGCTAGTTCTTTTTTGTTTATTTTTCAAATAAGGTGTTACACTTATGCCCAGGCCAGTCAGGACTACTATCTTCCCATGTAAGGGGGATATCAGGTGCATACCATAGTGCCCAGGTTTGTGTTGATTAAAAGAGATTTCGGCAGCTTTTTTTTTTTTTTTGCCTGGCCTTGCCTTGATCTCAACCTCTGAACTCTACATTTCTCAAGTAGCTAGGATTACAGGCATGAGCCATCTCACCCAGCCGAAGAGACTCTCATTCCATCACTTGCTCTGTGTAATACAAAAATTAACCAGAAATATATTGCAAGCTGGGCCACCATTGTGGGAGGCTAAGATAGAAAAATCTCTTGAGGCCAAAAGTGTGAGGCCAGCCTAGACTAGACTTACCTCAAAATGATGCACATATAAATGTAAGAGTAATAAACTGGTAGATACAAATGAGAAAACAGTTGAGAGCTAGAACTAAGTAAAGAGTTCTTAGATATTACACCAAAACCATGATCTAATAAAAGGAAAACTGATATATTAGACCTTCAAAAAAGACCAAAAAGATGAGAAGACAAAGTACAAATTGAGAGAAAATGTTTCCAAACCACACATATAACAATGGACTCATAGCTAGTGTGTGTGTAAAAAGAACTCTTGGAATTCCACCTTTAAAAAAGCAAACAACTTGATTTGAAAACAAGCAGAACACTTGAAGGGATATTTTACTGAACAGGATACACAAATGACAAAAAGTACATAGAGTGACATTCCAAACTAAGACTACAGCTCTATCTCCCTATTAGAATACATAATCATAACAATATCAAATGTTTGTGAGGATTTGGAGAAACTGGATCTCTTATGCACTGTGTAGGGATGTGAAATAGAACAGCCCTTGTGGAAGACTGGCAGTTTCTGGCCAAACAACATACACTGAATCATATTTCTTACACTTACATTCCTTGGCATTTATCCTAGAGAAATAAAAACTAATGTTCACACAAAACTTGTATGTGATTGTTCATAGCAACTTTTCCATAGCAAAGCCAAGCAAGGAAACTAACCAAAATGTCCCTTAATAAAGGAATGATAAAGCAAGTGGTGGTAATGTGGTACATTCCTTCTATGCAATAATAATAGTAGTGGATAGGAGCTATTGATATACTGTACAATGATCTCCATGCCATTACCCTAAGTGAAAAACGTTCATCTCAAAAGGCTCTGTGTGTGTATAAAATCTTGAAATGATAAACTAATATAGATGGAAAACATACCTGGTTGCTAGGGTTAGGGATGACATGGGGAAGGACTATATATAGGGATAGCCCCAGTTACAGTCTAGAATTTGGTGATGAAGCAGTTGTAGCCTTTAAAAAAATATTATTATTGTTGTTGTAGTTGTTGTTGTTATACTGGCATTTGAGTCCAGGGCCTTGGCTTCTACGATTTGAGGCAGGCCCATAGATATTTTGGATGTATTAATTTTTCAAATAGGGTTGCATTGTATTTATGTTACTCCACTATCTGGGATGATAGGATTGTGTGGTACTCAGCTTTCTGCTGGTTGAGATGGGGGTGCCATGAGCTTTTTTGCTCAGGTTTGTTTCAATTTGCAGTCCACCCAATTTCAGCATTACAAGTGTGAGCCATTGTTCCTGGTGTCTTCCTTGTGAAGGTTGCCCACAGCTGCACAAAGTCTAAAATGGGATGAAACTATACATATCCATTGTACTGATGTCAATGTCCTGAGCTTTGGGAATGTAGTTATTTTTGTAGGTATCCATTGGGGGAGACTGGGTGAAAAATACCCAGGACCTTCCTTACATATTTAACTTCCTGTAACCCTATAATTATTTCAAAATTTAAGGTTAAAAGTAGAACTTCCTTGGAAATTATTCCAACATATTTTTATTAGTTAACGTGAAATGAAAATTTTATGTATTATGTATGAACAATAACTATAAAACTACAGCACGGAAACTTACTTTCTTTTGTGAGGACTAGCTTGTTATTAGGAATACAGTATATCTGAATCACAAAGTGTTGCACTTAAACTGTTTGCTTATGGTGAAAAAGACAAAGGAAAAATGTAAATATTGAGGAATGCTTAAGCAATGTTTTCTTAATGAGCAGCCATTCGACAGGAAGGGACCATCTCTCCCAAGAACCTAAGATGTGCAGCGACTGTGCTGAGCCCCTCGGACCATAATGGACACCTGTGATCACCTGGCTCGTTCTCTCTGGATTGAACTCCCAGTGCTGAAAGGGGTCTAAGAAAAGTAGCATTGGACTTGCGCCTGGCTGGAACCGTCCCCTTCCTCACCCCCGCCCAACAGGAGCGCAGCGGAGGGCCAGGCCGGGAGCTTCTTCCAGATTCGGTTCCAAGTGCTGTCCATCATCGAGGCCTTATCTAGACAGCTCGGTGGCGAAAAGGCAGATAAGAGGCGGATCGAGTCCTCGGGCCCCGCCGGCCGGCCAGACGGGCTGCACACAAACGGGGCGCCTGTGCCGGGCAAGTCGAAAGTGACTCCCCTGGAGTTTTTATGATTCTCCCGGGTGGGAACGGGGCCAGAGAAGCTGTTGTCTGGGACGGCACGCTGGGCCCGCCGAGGTCCGGCCCTCGGGCCTCGCCAACGCCGACACTCCGCTACCATTTCACGCCGCGGGGACTTCGTGCCCCGGGACCGAAGCTGCTCCCGCCCCACCCCATCGCTCGCTCCGGGTACCCGGTCATGCTCCTTCACCTAGAGCCACGCGAGCAGCACCCCCAGCTCGAACACCCTCGCCCCGCCCTGAACCCCGACCCGCAGTCCCCCGAGACGCCTCCCACCCCCTCCCGCGCAGACTCAGCGAACTCCCGCCCCATTCGCGTTCCGGGCGCGGGTGATTGTGAAGGACACCTCTTATAGCCAATCAACAGCCGGGCAATGGGCGGGGATACGCTTGGGCTGGCCCGGGGAAGCACCGCCTGAGGAGGAGGCTTCTTGAGTGACCAGCACACTGGCCAATCACGGAGTCGTCGCGGCGCCCGCCCCCTCGCGGCGCCTCCGCCCCTCCCCGGCACCAGCGGGCGGCGGGATGTCCTAGGCGGAGGTGCCTCAGACGCGCGCTCGGCTCCACCAGGCGCGTTTGTGTGAGTCCGGGGCCTGGGGAGTTTCGCGGCGTTCCGAGATGACGGAGAAGGCAGACGAGCCTGTGAAGTACTACACCCTGGAAGAGATAGAGAAGCACAAAACCAGCAAGAGCACCTGGGTGATTCTGCATCACAAGGTGTACGACCTGACCAAGTTTCTGGAAGAGGTGGGTTGGGGGCCCGACCTAGGTGGAGGGGGGCTCGGGAGCGGAGCCCGGACGTGGGGGGTCCCCGGCGTGCTCCGCCCGCGCACCTGCGGCCTCCCCGCGCGTGCGCACCCGGCCCGCGCGCCCCTGTGCATGCACACCTGGACCCCTCCCCGCGCGTGCGCACTCGGTCCACGTGCCCCTGTGGGTGCACACCGGGACCCCTCCCCGCGCGTGCGCACTCGGTCCACGCGCCCCTGTGGGTGCACACCGGGACCCCTCCCTGCGCGTGCACGTGGTCCACGCGCCCCTGTGGGTGCACACCGGGACCCCTCCCTGCGCGTGCGCACTCGGCCTGCATCTCAGGGACCAAACGTTTGTGACCCCCGGAGACCTGCCTGCCTGGGCCCAGTGGCCCCGAGCCCCCCCTTCGTAGAAGAGAGCGCACCCACCTAGGGGTTTTATTTTATAGACAGTTGTCATCGTCTTAAAGGTGGTGTACTGAGGCGTTACAGTAAGTCAGGTGATGAGTACATTTCTTTTGTGAACAGTGCTTTGCTCTTGAGGTTTTGTGTTTTTTTTTTTTTTTTTTTTTACCCCCAATCCTGAGGCTTGAACTCAGGACCTGGGCTCTGTCTGTCCCTGAGCTTCTTTTGCTCAAGGCTGGCACTCTACCACTTGAGCCACAGCACCACTTCGAGCTTTTTCTGTTAATGTGGTACTGAGAATCGAACCCAGGGCCTCATGCTTGCTAGGCAAGCTCTCTACCACTGAGCCACATTTCCAACCTTGCTCTGGATTTTGAATAGAAAGCTCTCCAGCGAGGACAGGGATCAACCCACCATCATTAGCCCTGGAATGGACTTCTAATGTCTAATGCCAAGCACGGGAGGAGAGCATCCCACATCTACACACACTCACCCCCCGAGTTGTGGGAGCCTGGAGTCTGAGGTTAAGTGGGTCTGGATTCCTTCTCCCCTCACACCCATCAGTCTCCGCCTACCATTTAAGCCCACCTCCACCCCTGTGTGCCCAGAGGGGACATAGTGAAGATTAACCTCATCCCAGAGTGACTTGAGAGCAAGGTTCAGAGGTCCTGAGACGGGATCACCCAGTGCTGTGGGCTACATCTGCCTGCCCCAGGGAGTTGTAAAATAACTTTGCTCAACTTAAAAGGAGGGCATCCTTTTGGTAAAACGCTTTGCGTTGGAATATAACTTTTGCTGTGTAATCTAAAGAGTATTTCTAATAATTGTTTTTATTACCCTGGATGTATTTTATGGCTTGGTGTGTGTGTGTTGATTTGATGACTTAACACTTTTCCACCACTCTTCAGTAATGAGAGTGTTTAGTGATGGGAATTACTCAGTTTTGGGGGGATGAAGGGAGTGAAAATTGAGAGAGAGGTCTGTTTTTAACTGGACTTCAGTTTTGCAGAGAAAAACAACACAGAAGTTTATCTGTGGAGTCACGTTTCTTACTTGGGCCGTACTTCCGCTTTTGGCTTTTTCTGGTTAATCAGGGGTAAAAGTCTCCTGGATTTGACTGCCCTGACTGGCTTTGAACAGAGATCCTCAGATCTCAGCTTCCTTAGTAGCTAGGATTACAGGTGTGAGCCACCCGTACTGGCCATATCTTTGTAAGGTATTTTACTCTTCAGTTGTGATTTGGCAGAGTGCCAGAAGATAAAGCAGGGTTACCATTTAGTTAGGAGTGGTTTACAGTATGCAATTAGATGTGTCCTCCTTTCTGCAAAGCCATAGAGCGATTTTGCTTTTATAATTTCTCAAACTTAACATTCTTGCATTACAACCTCGGGCCCATGTGACAGTTTCCATATGGAACTGTCCCTTCCCATTTCCCATGGTATGTGTAATTTTGGAATTTTAACATGTCCGATGTACTTTGACTCTTTGTTTCTGTAAAAATGAGTAGCATTTGCAAAAGAATATTGGGATATTTTCTATTATGAAGCATTGAATATTTTTCTCTAAACTATTCTAACCTACCTTATGTTATCCCCCAAATAAAACATGGTCTTTAGACCTTGGCACTGTTGGCATTTTGGGCCAGATAACTCTTTGTCCTGGTGTTTGTCTACTGCAGCTTTGTCAGGAAATTTTCAAAGCCAACTGTAAATATAGTTCAAAATGCAATTCTTATAACAGTTCTCATATTAAATTTAACATAATGATTCAATTACCTAACATCATCTAGTAGTATCTAGTCAATGTTTACTTTTCATTTTCAAGCCGGCACCAGTGATGCATGCCTATAATCCTAGCTCCTTAGGAGGCTGAGCTCTGAGAATTATGGTTTGAAGCTAGCTGGGGCAGGAAAGTCTTGAACTCTTATCTCCAATTAACCACCAGGAAACTGGAAGTGGTGCTGTGGCTCAAAGTGGTAGAGCGCTCGCCTTGAAGTGTAAAAGCTCAGGGACAGCACCCAGGCCCAGAATTCAAGCCACATGACCGGCAAGGAAACAAAACAACAACAACTAAAAAAACAGTAACAGGGAGCCTTTCATAGTGTCCCATGCCAGAGCAAACTGTCCTCCCAAACCACTGCCTGGCCTCGACCTGAGGGCTGCTGGCACTGAAGGGGGTTGCACAGAGGAAACAACAACAGTAACAGGAAAAACTTCAGAAATTTCATGAAGCATATTCTCTCTTCCCTAGTTTATCTAATATGAATTGGTGGGGGAGGGTCTTCCTACCTCTAAAATGAATCTTTGTCATTATGGTCAATATATCCATATACTCTGAATTTTCCCATCTATTTCGACAAGCTTTCTTGTGACTGAGTATTTTCCCCCTGAGTACTTTCTCCTCATCTTCCAGAAAAATCATTGATTCATGCATTGATTTGAATTGAGGAAAGATGTGGTGTGGGCTATGGGAGGACTCCTGCCCTGAACCTTGGGTTACTTACTTGTCAGAGGGGAGGAGAACTGTACGTGCTTGTGCTGATGGCCAACGCACACCAAGTGGAGCTGGTTGCACACACACCACCGTGGCGGCTGCTTCTGTTAACTTGGGACCTTTGCTGGTAGTGGTCGAGGCTGGGGATTGACTTTTTTTTTTTTCCGGCAGCAGCATTTGTAGCTGAGTGTTTAATGTGTGCGTTCAGGTGAAACTAAATCCAGCATGGGATGTTGAAACGTAAGGAACATGATGAAAATTCTGTCTCCAGTGGAAACTACAGGTTGAAGTTGAGTTGTGCAATGTGAGTTCTGTCCTCCTACACAAAACTGTTCTGCTGTGTAGGGGGAGGGGCAGATAGCCAAGAAGGGGGGTGGCAGATTATTAATGGCAATCTAGCTAGCAGCAGGTGTTTGATTATGATTTGATACCTACCAACAAGAGTAGGAGCCATATTGCCTATGCATTTTGAACTAGATTTTTTTTTAATCCTGATGTAGTTTTTGAGTTTGTATTTATGAAGCTGAATCTTGTCCTATGTGATTATAATATGATTCTAGACCTTGAGGGACCACCATCTGAGATGACAATACTAGACATGGGTCTAGGATAAAGAAGCAGCATTTTATCCAGTGTGCATCAGAGCTGTGGAAGGGGGAGAAGAAAAGCATTATACAATAACAGCTCTACTAGTTACAGTTCAGCTAAGGTATTCATGGAATAGATGATGCCTGTGAAATACTTAGGAAGCAAATTGTCCTCTCTCTCTATTAGAAAAATGGAAATTTATTTCAGCAGAATGTTGTCTAGTGCTTCTGGCATTCTGAGTCAAATCTTGAATATCTTTCTGCTTTTGAAAAAGCAAAAGCTTCTGACTCACATTGATTGTGTGTGTGTCTGTGTGTTGGACGCGCATGCTGGTACTGGGACTTGAATCCAAGGCCTGAGCACTGTGAGCTTTTCTGCTCAAGGCTGTTGCTCTGCCACTTGAGCCACAGCTTCATTTCTGATTTTTTGGTGGTTAATTTAGATGAGTCTCACAGACTTTCCTGCCCAGGTTAGCTTCTAACTACAATCCTCAGTTCTCAGCCTCCCAAGTAGCTGGGAATACATGTGTGGGGTACCAGTGTTAACACACATATAGAGTGTTCAGGAGGTTTGGGGAGCTTCCCTGCTGTTGTTTCTCACAGAACGGGGCTGTCGACCCTGCATAAGCTAGAGTTCTGATTCTGGGGACCACTGATAACCCCAGATCAGGGAAGAGACTGAAAGTATTTAAGATGCATATCTTTATTTGTGAGAAACAGGACAGATACCTTTTTAGGGTTTTCCTAGTTCGGGCTAGAATGGCAGTGCCTATGCTTTGTGCAAGGAGGCTGGGCAGGTTCCCGTCCTCGTGCTACGGGTGCTGCCCTTGCATTTGATGAATGTCAAGTGCAAGTATAATTTATGTATTTTGGAAAAATAAAAAACTTAGAAAATGTGCCATTCAAAGGCAAAGAAGGAAGAGTGAAGAGATCTGGGTGAGGTCAGGCATCCTAGGTAAGCAGCAGAACCACAAGATCACCTGGGGAATGCGACCTGTGGGTCTTTTATGTGTTTTCTATTTTTTGTTTTTGTAACCAGCTGCTACTTTTCAGAAGAGATTCCAAGCGGCTGCTTTGTTTTGACACAGGAAAGAAAAAAATCACTGAAGAGTACTTGACACTTGAAATTTTTAAAGGGAGCACAGCTGTGCTGCCTTCTTGGGTAAAGCAGAGATACCTTCTGCACTGATCTCTACTTAGTGCCGTTGTCTGTTATCCTAGAAGCCCTTGAGGGTGAGGATGGGGTGGGATGGCAGGAGGAAGACAACCCCAAGTGCTTTTGTTAGTTGAGTGGAGTCTGCACAGCCCTGGCCTCACCTGGACAATGTGTGTGAATTCTCTGAGCAACTGAGAAACTTGCTATGATGTGATTTACCCATGTTTTCCTAAATTTTTTGAATATATTTAAAAAATAAAAAATGGAAATGTATGGGAAAAATTGTTAACAGATAAATTTAGCAGATAAATTATCTTAAAAGTGAACTTTTGGTCGGTAATATACCTATATCTATTC